CCCTGAAGTTGCTCAACATGTGTCATCTGGTCATGAAAGTATAATTAAAGGATTATGAATACTTGGCTTGACGGCAATGAAGCTTTTATTAAAGGATGTGGACCGTGATCAACAAAATTAAACAAAGCAATATTGGCGCGTCGTCAATCAAGACCGTTTCTGCGACGTGGCTCGCTGAACATGAAGGACAACCATAAAACACATGAATTGCTGCATCAATCCAATTTTTGTTTCACAAATTTATCTTGATTAATTGACCATAGTGAACCAAATTTCACACTTACACATTCTTTTAAATGTCTCATATAAAGTCGTCATAAAAAAGTATCGATAGTATGATTATAACCCGTGATTAAGATGGATTTTCCTTACCTCCAGAGAGTACGCAATCCAGTTCGCTGTCGGTGCAAATACAGGCTGCGAAGCGTTTATACATGAATTCGCGTTATCTGGATCGTACCCACGTATGTTTCAATTAAAGTACTAACGCTATGTATACAATATATACAAAACACTACGGGGAATAAGTCTGACTCATTGGTTCCATTACATGACGTCATGATGCTCCAAGTAAAACGGCTCCATCATTTATACAATGATCAAACATAATGCTTTGAAAATTATTCACACATTACATTGCCTTCAAGTATTTTCAAACATATTTTTAAACTACTAGCTGAACTTAAAATTTATATTGTTGGTTGACTGGATTGAACTTAGGATGACATCAGGTATTTTTGTGGAGTGGAGCACTATTGATTGTAGCACCTGCGGGACCTGACTAAGGCTTCGTCCAAATCTGTCGTCTAGAGCTGAGTCTAGGTCTTCACTCCATTGGAAATGCGTGGAGACGCACAGACAATAGCCCTAGTCGTAGCTCTGGAATCCCGTTTCGGACGCGGCCTTACATGTGCGTATTCCACATTGTGTAGAGATCAGTGATTGATTCCCATACGGTTGGGTGCCATGTATGGAAGTTATCTTGTAGTTTTGAGTGAGGGCCTGGTGTGTTTTGCTGCCTTCTTGGTTTTCATGCTAATGATGAGTATTTCACTATTCATGAGCAAAACGGTGTCATCCCAGGAGGAAAGCCTAAATGTTACACTAGTCTGTATGCAAAAAGTCCAGCTTTTTGTAGATTTTGCTTGACTGAATTTTCTCTCTGATGATTCATTGTTGTTCATGTGCAAAGCAGTAAGTAAGCACCAATGCTTTTCTCGGAAATGTTTTCAGTAAGTTAATTCTGGGTTCTTAATTGTTATAGAGAAACTTATGCAGTGAACCATGCAACAGCACCCTTGGTTTTCTGGGATAGCCTGGATAATTTTAAGTGTTTAAAAAAGTGCGCTTTTCAGCGCATGTAACCAAATGGGAGTGTAAAAGAGTGTTCATGAATACTATGGAGAAGAGTACAAAGTTACAGAAAAATTATGCCTAGGAAAAATTCATTGCTGCCACCCTTTAAATGTGCAAATGTCACACCAGTGAAGCCAAGTTGTAACATGGAGGAAGGAACACTTCCTTCCTCCATGGTTGTAACATGGAGGAAGGGTGTTCCTTCCTCCATGGTTGTAATAACTCATTCAATATTAAAATACTTTCAGTTTATCACAAGTGTTTCACTTACTGTATTTCCAGGTAGCTGCGATGAACAGATCAGGCCAGTGCTCCTGAGGAACACGGGTAGTTAAACAGCCAAGGGTAAAACGGACTACTAAACATGAAGTCCAGCTGAATGATTCCAATCTCCAAATATACAGTAGCCAACTGAAGCAAGCAGTTTCTTATCATTTACGTCAGTGATCTGATAAGTTGATTGAAATTAGAACTTTCGTCAAACGAGACGTTAAACAGCACATGTATAAGCTTCACTGAATGATTTACCTCAACTTTCGTCAGGTCGTTGGACGTAGCAAGTATTCAGCGTCATCCAGGTACATGTACAATGCACCTCTGTGGTTGGCTTGAGTCTCATGTAGACAGACAAGTTGATGTACGGATAACAAATTTCCCTGCGATAAGTAAAAGGCATAAACAGCCACAGCTGACCTCTGAAGTGTAATCTTTCTTTCTTGCAATGCACAGTGAAGGTACATGCATATGCGTTTGTAAGTTATATGCTCGGTTCATTAGTCCACAAGTGATACAGAAGACACGAATGTGAGGCATCATGGCATTGTCCGATGTAATTGCAAGTATTTCCCACTGGGTGAGCAATGTTCTTTGGCTGTGCAGTCAGCCTTTATATTTGGTCCAGGACATCTATGAAACAAACTATGAAGTCATGTCTGCAGTGTTCTCGACCATCTATTACTGTTTGCTGTACACAGCAAAAGCCGGGCAGTTGTTGATGTTTGGGGTTCTCTCAGTGGTTGAGACAATCATAGATCTACTTGGCAACTTACAATATGTCATCCGTGTCAGCGTGTCTGGGCTTATTACGGTCTTCAAGTTTGGGGTTCAAATGTCACTGGTCATTTTCCAAACGACAGTGAATTATGGGCTGTGGATCATAAGCAAAGTGTGGTACGGTGCCGTTTGGTCTTACACTTCATTGGGTTATTGCATTAGTGTGGTCGTCGATGCTGTAGTGGCAGTTCTTCCAACATTGGTAGAATTTCAGAAAGGTACAGGTGCACTTCTTCATTATGTTGTGGTGTCATTCGGGCATTTCCTAACAATGGCAGTGCTGACAGTGTCTGGTACATTGGCTTGGACCCTCTCTTCTGCACTGACTTGGATGGTAGGAGCGCTGACTGCCGTTTGTCGCTCAATTCTCCAGTGGTTTGATGATTTGTGGGAGATGATGACCTGTGCTGAAATCTCACTTGCAACTGCCCGGGCTTACTCCACCAGAAAGTTTGAAGAACTGTATTTTGGGGTGTTAGAGGCTAGCAGTAATGCATTTGGCTCATTTGTTAGTCATCTATTTGTCTTTCTGTCTACAGTGTCCTATATCATGCTTTTTGCTGTTTGTTGTCTTGTTCTCGTCCTGGTCCCCATGAAGTTTTACGGCCTGTACATGAATGCCTTGAGCTCAGCCCATACAATGGTGAGACTGTTACACCAAGCATTGTTTGGCAGTGAGCACGCCGGACAACAGAATCGAGAGCACAGGCCACCGCAAGTCACACGAAACGTAGAACAGCAACTTCCTGCAGAGGGGGATGCATCTGACACAGACGGTGACAATTCACTCTTGAGTAGCATACGACCAAGACGTGTAGCCCCTGCGGCGCCACCACAGCACACACCACCAGCGAATCCCCAGCAAGTCCCACAATCATCAGGGGGCAGCTCAGCAGCCAACCGGCCAGGACCATCTGGGAAGCATGCCCAGCAAATCAGGCCAACACCTCCCTCAGCACCAAGCCTATCTGCCCCCAAGTCCAACAAGGCCAGCCTGGCCAGGCAACTTGAGGAGGAGCGAGACCGTCAGCTGTGCGTGGTCTGTCAGGACAATGGCAAGAACATCCTGATCCTGCCCTGCAAGCATCTGTGCGTCTGCCTAGAGTGCGTGGAGGAGATAACTGGGCAGCAAAGGCGAGATGCAAGGAAGTGTCCCCTCTGTCGACAGGCCATCAGAAGTTACCTCGAAGTGTATACCTGAAATACTAGTCTTTGTGCAAGACGGTTCTGTTTGTAATGGACTTTAACTCACCGCAGCCAGATGGTGTAGTCCGCCCCAAGCTGAAGTGCACCCCCAATCAGCGAAAGAAAGACAGGTGGTTACAAGCGGGTTCTTGCACGCATTCTGCGTGTACGCAAAGACCATACATGCAGGACGAAATTAGTTGTGCATACTCGGCGTGTTTTGCGTCAAACGTGTATATTTTTGTGCTTCATGGCATGCCTATGCAGTGAGTACCAAAAACACGCTCTCTTTTGTTCTGCTCGGAGCGGATAATCACCCTCAAACTACAATGTACTATCACAAACTGCTATTTGGTAATGGTTCATGAGTGAATGATTGTGGTTTGTGTGTGATAGTTGTCTGTGAGACAGTGCCATCTTTCAGCAATGAATTATGGTCCATAACAAACAAATTTTCAACAACTGGATAATTTTAAGCAGTAGCTGAAGTTTCAGTGAAAGGTGTTTTTTTTTTAAAAGCAACTTTAGTTTTTATGTAGTGCAAAATACATTTTTTTCTCACCTGTTGCTTGGGGTCATGGCCAAAGTGTGTAAATATTTACCATTTAGCAACAATGACCACTGACAGCTGAAACCATGCTTCAAGACAAATGAAATAAATGTTCGACGCCGGTGCTTAACACTTAGAGCCACTTCTGTACATGTATATTGCATAGATTTTAGGATCCCATTTTGGGTATATGTAGGAAAGGAGCAAGACCTGTACCCAGGGTTGAACATGGGATTGAACCTGTGACTTTACAAGTGGTACTCCCAAAACCACCACGTAGAAATTCACAAATTTGGCCAGTGCATCATCTGGGCCCAGGGCGGATCCAGCTTCAGTAAAGTACAGAATACACAGTGGAACACTTCGCCCCCTGGAACACACAGGGGCAGGGGCTTTGGCCTCCTTGTGTCCTTTTGTATACGTGTAATTTAATGAAGTCAGCCAGCGTAGGCTGGATGATCGAGTCTGTACAGCAGTACAACAGCAGAGCACCAGCATGCTATTGCAGATAATTCAGGCTCACGTTAATTTTCTGACAAATTGGGTGTGCTGATTTTGTCTTTCCCTTCAAAAGGAGCTGTGAGGATTGCCCAATAAAAATTCCTGGACTGTTTGTCAAGAGTTGCACTTGCCAAATTTCCCCCCCCCCTTTTGTCTAATGGCAATGTGGAGGTTATGCACGGCAGCCATCTTCCCGGTCAGTGTTATTGTTCCACATACAAATATGCACAAGTAGACCTTTTGTGCACATCCCCCTTAACAAAAGCACTGACTTGGAAGATGGCTGCCATACAAACCGCTATACCGGCACTGTGCATTAGTATGCATCCACCTGTCCTCTGGTGGTCAATTTTATAGTGCTTTAAGTTCTAAACTTGTTCCGCTATTTGGGGATTGGCCAATGCTTATAGAGTACCAAAGTGAATACGTTATACGTCACAGTTGTGTGTAAAAGACATTAGGGCAAGAACTCCATTCATTTGCGGTACACTCCCTGATTGAAAATGCCGTCACACTTCAGTACTCTATAGGCACTGACTTGGAATCATTTTTTGTATACTTACTGAAATTGTGTATCAAACCACTGATACATCACTGTGACGCCTAACTGAAGTTTACATGTTCATGTAAATCATGAATACCCTGCTGTTGTTATGAAGAATGAACTTGTGCAAAATGGTTCAGATGTGTGCAGCTTTTCAAAAATGTTATCAGTGCTTCCAAATTGCTCTGTTTGAAAACTAGAATTTTTTATGTACACATTCATAGTTCAGCTCAGCAGTTGGGTAAAATTATGTTTACTTTGAAATAAAAACGGGAAAGAATGAAATTACACTGAATAACCTGTGCTACTTTATAATGAATGACAGTGCCAATTTGTTTTATTAAAACAATACTTTGAACCTGAAATGAACGTAACTGACTGTATAGTCAATGTTGACCACTTGCTGCAGGGTAGTTTGAAAAATGCAGTGCACAGTCGGGATTTCAGTTTTCAAAATTCTTCAAAAATTAATCATTTGAATTAATGGACGTGTTACACCCACACGAATTACTGTCTGGTGGCCACTCTAGTCTGACAGACTAAATCTATTGATGCCCGAGTATTTCAGCCAGGCCTGCAGCCTTGTAAAAAGAGCCCAGATTGTGCTGTGTTATCTAACTTTCTTTTGAACCTGGCACAGTGCGCTGCTGACCTCTTTTCAATAGGGGCCAGATTAGCATGCAGTACTGCTGTGTGGCTCATCGCTGCAGTCGTGGAGAGCTTTTGTGCCTGGTGGTAATCCGCTTGCACTAAATGCCCCAAACCGTGGTATACTGTTTCAAAACAAGGCTGGATTATCTCCACTATTGAGACTGAAAAAATGTCGGTAATGCCCAGCAGCCTGGTCTTTTGTTCCAAGTACAGTCTTTTGTTCCAAGGCCCAGTTCCCTTTTTCTGATTTTGGAGACCCCGGCCACGCGTATAAACACGCGGTGCCCGAAACTCCGGGCTCACCAGCAAGAAGTGGTAAAGACGGCAATCATTTTTGGTTGGTATTGTTAGTATGTACATGTACATGTATATACAAGTATTCCAAATCATTTGATGAGGGTACATTTAATTAAAAGGTTGCAGGAAAAATCCAATTCTAATGCTGTGCTGCAATCCTCTTGCTAAACACAATGTAAAAACAAAACTGGTGAATCTATAATGCTACGCTCATCCCATTTTCAATAAAGACCTATCTACTCAAAATATCTGCTTAGCAGAAACGGCTTAATGACTAAGCATATTTTTCTTGTAATTGGCTAGTTTTTTGTGCACAAATTGGTTTTGCAATATTTGCTCAAAGTAGAGACACCCCTTCATGGGGGGGGCAACCTGGTGCAAGATGCACATGGACAGTCCATATATTTAACAGAATAGGCCTCTGAACTGAAGAAGTTGCACTTTGTTTGCATGTGCACTTTTTTAAGAAGCAAGGTGGCCCACAGTCCACTGAGCACCATAGGAAAGCATACATGTAAACAATGAGTGGCTTCATCAGTGTAAAGGTCCACGGGCCATTTAGGATTAACATCACCTGTGCCAAATGTACATAAACCTGCTAAAGCACAGTGTTCTCATGCAAAAGTAAAAACACACCATCTGTTTGTCCTGTACAGAGCACAGTGTCTGCCTTACAAAATCAGGGTTAACATCAATCTTCAAGTAGTAAGGAACTCTAATATGCTCAAACACAAATCATATGCTGCAGGCAACTGCTAGTGATCTGCACCCAGCTGTGGTTTTGAAGTTGAGCACGAACCTCTCTTTACAAATATTTTTTTTGCAAAGATGGCTGACCCGTCAATGTCATGAGTGGCCTCGATCATAACTCGTCATTGCCTGATTTATTCTAGATGGTTGTTGCAATACATAGCTTTATTCGGAGATGGTAGTGGCACACTATTTCATGGGAAAAGCTTGCAAGGCTGACCAAAGTTTGGCCGCCTCATCAACATTCTGTACAGTTGATATTGTCTACAAAAATTGAGCAAACTAATTAAAAGATTTGTAGGGTTCACAAGGCTCCCTACACACAATCACTGCAGACTTGTTTGACCCCACCACTGCTTTAAATACATTGTAGTGTTGACAGGTGAACATTTAAACCCATGATTCACAGTGGAGAAATCACATGACAATAATGAAGTGTCATACTGATCAACGTGTGTGTCACGGTGAAAGTGGGCATGAAGCTGCTCTTGAAATAAAAACAAAATCTATTAAAATAATTATGACATAATTTTTGTCTTTAAGCTGGCAACTCCAATGTGGTGTAATTTCAGCAATTATGGTGTAATTTCAGAATTAAAAATGACAATCAAACTTTCATTGTAACTAGCAAAGATACAATATCTGTTCAACAACTGAACAGCGTTTCTAAATAAAATTGTTGATTGAAGAGATGTTACAAGTTGTTCTCTGAAGGAAAAAGTGCACTTTCTAAAACCCGAAGACAGCAAAATAATTACACATACCAGTGCTTGGCACTGTCTTAGACTGAATGTTTTACAATCGTCAATGCCCTTTTTTCTCTCAAACTGTCAAAATGTAACACAATTCACAGCAAGTTTTTAGGTAAAGCCTGTGGCACTGATTATGAACATATATATACAACTTGACTTAAGTTTACTGTATTCTTCTTTTCACAAGGTACAATTTTTACAGTGCTTTGAGATGCCATCGTCTCTCCTCAATTGCCGAAACCATACACGCAGTGTACCACGGCCTAAGATTGGGCTGGACGTGTATGTAAATGTACTGAACCTTCTCCATTCTTGGGATCAAATGGGAGATCAGAAAATTATGTTCTCAATCAGAGCTAAAAAGGGTTCCCCCGATCTATGCCTCTTGATAACAACCAGTTTCAATATGTATACTTTCTGATTGGAAAAAAAATCTACAATGTGCCTTGGACGTAAAAACCTGGAACCCCAACGTGGACAAAAAACCACCACTTGTTCCCTCTGAACCTTATATACTCAACAATACAGTGCTATTAAAACTGGGGGTGGCATGCTTTTTTCCCAGGGGAAATTTCACTTATCAGTAAGGAACCGATAAACCATTGATACTGCAAGGGGTATCAATTCAAGAACTGATTTAAGCAAACTGGTGATTTCCACTCCCTTTCATAACTTTTTCTTCATTTCTTTTCTCATTCTTTCCTTTTTGGGGGGAGGGGGCAAAGAAAGGGCGGCCTTACTTGCAATGTCTATGCTACATGTAACACCTGTGGCTTGAAGGAAGCCACTGGGTCCTGTAAAATATTCCTGACCTTTGCCAGTTGATTCAAGCCAAGGCCGAACTCGGTTCAGGATTTTATTCTGTTCCCCATTAGATTTGATCTTCAATTCTGTTTCGGTGCACCTATGTGCCTGTGAGGTTACAGTTACATAAATGATAACAGAAAACCCCAAGTTATATGTACATGTAATTGTGAAGTTTTAAAGGCATTTGCTGTGGATTTCTCCGTTCAGATGTATATGCACTCTCGAAAATGCAAATGCAGTTCTCACCAGTGTTGTAGTCGAGACCATCACAGGACCACGCACAAGACCTGTCATAAGTAACAGGACCAACAGTGACAAAGGGAATGCTTTTGTTGCAGTCCATTTGAATAGCTTGTGACTTGAATTCAGACTGGAGGTCTTGTGTGGGCCTTGTGAAGGTCTTAAGGGGTCACGACTACAACCCCGGTTCTCACCCTATGGAATGTGATTCATGAACACTTAAGTTTCCTCATAATCTGAAACATCAACCTCCATGTCCATCAGCTCTTCCTCATCTGATTCCCCAACTTCATCAATGAATATCATATTATCAAAGTCTGGTATCTCTCCAAGCCACTGTTCATCATCCTCATCTTCGTTGACGTTTGGAGTGGTTCCAGCCTCGCTTTCAGGTTCCTTGTATTTGTCCTCAAGGGAGACAGACTCTCTCTTTTCCTCTTTGGGTGTTGGCGACTGGAATGTTTCTTTATTGTTGACAAGATTCTTTTCACTTGTAGTACTGCCAGACTTAATGGAGTCTGAGCCAGAGTTCTTGGATTTGGTTGTGCGGGGTTTTCTGGCTTGATTTTTGTTTTCTCCTGCAGATGGCTTGGATGGGATTGGCTTGGGTGTGGCTGGCTTGGGTGTGGCTGGCTTGGGTGTGCTCAGCTTAGATGTGGCTGACTTGGGCATGGCTTTAGATGTGGAGGCCTCTGAATCCACTTCATTTGAATTGGCCCCGTTCAAAGCAGCAATGGTTGATGTAGATATCTTGGGAATGGACAGGACAAGTTTGGATGGCTGCATTTTCTGAGAAGTCTCCGTGAATGAACTTTCCTTCAACAATTTGTCACTGGGTTCTGGTGCTTTGGCAGCTGTTCTCTCATTCTGCCTGGGGCCACGAGACATGTCTAAATCATTCTTACTAGACTTGGCAGCTTTCTTAGGCGTGGCATCATTACTAGGTGCGGCACTCTGTTTTGGCACGGTTCCCTTAACAGGAGTAGCATCTCTCTTTGCTAAACCTTTCTTCTTCACAGTATCCTTTGCTGGTAAAGCATTTTGGGTTGGGGTATCTTTCTTCGCTGGAACATTCACAGGTGTGGCATTCTTGGGTGGGACATCTTTCTTGGGTGGGGCATTTTTCTTGGCTGGGGCGTCTTTCTTGGCTGGGGCATCTTTCTTGGATGGGACATCTTTCGTCGGCTGGTTATCTTTTTTGGGTTTCGCATCCTTTTTCGGAACTGTCTTTTTTAATGTAGGCGCATTTTTCTTTACTGGAACTTCTTTTGTAGCTGAGACATCCTTCCTAGGTGTGGCGTCCTTCATGTCTCCGACACCTTGCTCCTGGTTGCTCTTTGCTACTGGGAAGGACTTCTTCTCACTGACTGCTATCCCTGAATTGGCCTCAGCCACAACTGACTCACTGTGCTTTGTGTAGTGTTGCTGTGGGATAAAAACACACTCAGATTTAATTTTTTGTATCAAGAACTGTTAGACTGCAATGATCCATAGCAATCAGCGAATCTGAGGCAGAATGTTGCATGCTTGTATTGAATTGCTCCACATATAAACAATGAAAGTTGTCAAATAATCACTGCCAATGAGAAGAATTCTGCCACGTTTGGTCTTTTGGCCAATGTCTTTCCCACGATCAAGACAGCCAAAGATTTTCAAAAGGTGGTAGAGATTTTGAAAGCATTCAATTGAAAACACGGAAGTGTGAGCCACTCATGAGCCTGCCTTAGAGAAGTGACCGACGTGTCGGTTGTTAGCAGCCAACTGAGTGCTCTGGTACAGTCCAGCTCAGAGGCCACAGAGAAATTGTGAAAACCATTTGCAACGAGCAGACCCTAGATGGCAGCTTTTTCCCTTTCTCTCCTTCAATACCTTGACTTTCTCCTTGTGGTGGGGTGTTCTGCAGTGTACCGCCTTGGCTAAACACTCCTTTTTGTAAAACTTAGAGCAGAGCTTACAAAAGAAACCTGTGATGGGGACGATGAACTCTGGCCCTGAAAAGGATAACAAAGGTAAGAAATTAAATCAGACCAGATCCCATAACTGGAAGCTCAAGGGTCCATTTTTCACTTGGTCAGTTTCCATGGGCCTGGGAACAGACATGCATAGCTCTTCAATTTGATGGGATTACCAGGAGCCTGCAGGCAAACTATATGATGATAAAGACAAGCTGAACACAAGATTGTACTTCAAAAAGAGCAGATATGTTGAGACTGTGCATACCGACAGTTTCGTCCTTTTCGTTTAAGTGCTTCTCCGTCTCGTCATTCTCGGCGTTCTCTTCGTTACCATCCACTTCGACGTCCTGCTCACTGAGGCCATCATCTCCATACACTATGCCAGGATCCACACCCTTTTCTTGAGCTTTCTGCTCATCAAACACACACATATACAAGGTTTGTTGTGGTCTTCATTGAAATTCTGCTAGTTCACATTATGCTTCCACTGAACTTTGCATTTTTCTATTGTTGGCATCCGTTACCAGTCCTACGTGTAATTGTGACACAGAAGGATGTAAATATGAGTTGGACTTGGGCCTGATCCCACCCCAAGTTGTCTCAGTATTTGCAAGTCTAACACAGGTCATCCAATCTCAAGTTGCAAGCAATTCAATTTGAATGAGAGACTTGGTATCCAATGTGATACTGTAGGGTCCACCATAGTTTGTATCTCACTTGACCGAAGCTCAAAAGAACATTAAGAAAAGCAGACGAGTACATGGCACAGGTATGTTTGTCACTACCATGCATGTCAAAGGATCCCATGACTTGTGACATGAGTTATGACAGACTCGCGACTGGATTTGAGACTAGCTTGTGACTAGAATGTTGACTGTCTCTTGAATGTGACTGAGTTGACTTGTGACTAGACCAGTGATTGACTTGTGACTGGACTTGTGATCGCCCTGGGACTAGACTTGGGACTGACTTGTGAGTGGACTGTGACTGGCTTGCAACTACACTTGTGACTGGCTTGCAACTACACTTGTGACTGGCTTGCAACTACACTTGTGACTGATTTCCAACTAGAACTGATGATCAGCTTGCAACTGGACTGGTGATTGGCTTGCAATTACAAGTGATTGACTTTCAACTAGATTTTTGATTTGACTATTAAGAACATTCCCGATCAATATGTGACTACAGCTGCTGTTTGACTGGCTTGATTGACTTGAATCCAATATGGCATTCAATGTTCCCTCATCATTGATGTCTTCAGTGGAGTACACTTACCCGAATGTGGGACAGCTTTTTCATATGACTGCGGAGGGACTTCAAGTTCACAAAGGTCAGCTCACACAGGGTACACTTAGGTCGAATTTTCAGGAATTTCTAAAATAAACACGTGAACCAAAAAAAATGAATTTTTAGCGCTACATTATTACAACATTCTCATTATCAAATGATATCATCTTTCAACACAGTATTGTCATCCAAAAAGACCTTATGAACGTGAATCTTTTATCCGCTATTTCAGCACCAAATCCGGCTTTGACAAAAAGGCCTTTGTGGAAGAACTAAAAAAAAAAGTTGTTGACATGTGGCCTAACAGTGACTTGACATACCTTGTGGTCCTTTGATGCCATGTGTTCCTCATAGCTGCAGGCATAGGTACGGAAACACTTGCCACAGAAGAAAGCCTGATCCAAATGGTTCAAGTATGCAGATGTGACAAGCGGTCTACAGGGCAGAGTTCGTTAAAATAATGCATGTAATCAGAAATCATTCAGAAAGGTGTTAAGAAATTATTGAATGGAAAAGAACACGTCTATAATCAACAGGATGTCTTCATGTAAAGCGCTTACAATGCCCTCTGAGATACAACAGGTGCAGGCTGAATATATCACAGCTGAGTGAAAATATGAAAAATGTTTACCCACTTATCCCCTAACCATACCCTGGTAACTGTGTCAAGTTTCTACTTACTGCACAGGTGGGGGGATGGCAAAGCTGGGCAAGGGAACCGCCAGCCATTTCTTGAAATCACCCTGCTCTTTGTCTGGCAGATCGGCCAGCTTGCTGATGAGCGCTTTCCTGAGGGCAACATGGCTGTCATCGTGGAGACGCTGGAAGGTAGCTATGTGGCGGCGTCCCTCTATGTGGGACAGGTAGACCTTCAAGGAGAGTGGGGAGGAGGACGGAGAGATTTCAAAGAAAGTGGTACAGTGCACAATTTAAAACGGCAGGAACAAAACAAACTCGAGTCGCTTGCTAAATCCTACATCATTTCCTCTATCTGCAAAATATCAATGGCATGCAATAAGACAATGTATTCTAAGAGTAGGAGACAAAAAATAAAGACGAACCGGTGAGAGACGTAAGTGCCTCATGTGTATGTGAGCGTTTCGTGTACATGTTCCCAGTGCTTTCTTCTCATTAACATGAGCCCATTGATGCTTTTATAAGCAACTTTCGTGAACACCCTAAACTCCAACACTGTGGTGTCCGTCACCATTTTACTAGAGCTGAAAAAAAAGTTCACCAAATCTCAGACAAAGCAGAGGTGGCTAGATTTCTACGAAGACTGTGCACCACCAGTTGTTTGATTTTGAAGGATTAGAACTAACGGTAGCTCGGTCCCAAAGCAGAATCGTGCAACACCATTGATAAAAATTGAACTGGTAAACAGTACGTGTAAATGTTAATGGGATGGGGAGGACAGAGATGGAAGCCACCTACCGACCAGCCGGAACAGTACTTGCCACAAATGTAGCAGTACCAGTCTACCACTTGCTTGTTCTGGACGTGGTCTTCTAGGTTGACTTCCCTCAGGAGGGACAGCTGGAGGGTGAAAAGCAACAAAAATACCACATCACTGGAAACTTCAGTGAGAGAAAAAAATAGATATTAAGATCTCAAGATATGTTTCACAATTTGACACCCAGGTTTAAATGGTAGCACCTACCTGTCGTTTCAACATTATTGGAAGAAATTGTTTTACACAGCAATACAAGATCAAGCATTGCTTGTATTTTAGTTCTATAAATATGTTATTAGAACCTCAAGCTTAAAATCATGGATTGATCACATTATCAAAAATTACCAACAGTTACAGAATGAAAAAGGTAACAACAGAAATTACTAAATATGCTTAATTTTGGGAAACAGAATTAATTTAGAAAAATACAGAAACAAGCACGTTATGACTTTACAACTCGTAAATAGGAAGAAAGTTATCTTAAAAATCAATGTGATGTGACAATAACAAACATAAATGTATGTGTGATTGCTTTGCCCATGATTGACAGTTTAGGACAAAAGTACAATGTAGATGTCACTGTCATTGATCCATCAGTATTCCATCCATGATGACCGTGACACCCAGTCCTAATTTTGTGGGTTTGCACATGATAAATCAGTCCAGTGCTGGTATAGAACGTTGTTGTGCATACTAAGCAGGCACGCTCAATGTGTGATGGGACAGAAATTCAGTGCTTTTGTCTCAGCCTCCTCTCAAACACACATCAACACTCCTGTGTTTATCGGAGGTGGCAAGATCAGCTGTGTACTGAAGACTTCACCCAGTGAAACTGTCCAGGGATGATTATTTTAAGCTATCCCAGATCTCCCCTATCCTTGATAAAGACGATCAGGTTGTCACCTTTTCTTTCACCGGCACTCCCCACTGCATTTTCCATTCAGCCCAGAGAAGGACACCTGTTTCCAAGGGCAATTACTGGGCATCCACAGTAAGTACCCAGTGCTAAGCACTGATATGTACACGTGTGGATGCTGGCTCTTCCAAGGACTTGAAGCACTATCCTGACTTTGACCTGCAAGCTGAGTTTCAGCAGTCTGCCATGACGGTGATGAATAGTTCATGTGTTGTGGGCACAGAGATGGATATGAAAGCAGCTCTGTATTGTACGAATGGTGTCCTTCCAATCTTGGATTGAGCCAAGACTTTTACTGGATGTTCCATCAACAAGTGGCTAAATGGGCACTGACTTCTTTGTCAATGTTAACTGATTGAGACAGTCCGTGTACTGCCTGGGGTAGCAAATCAACTTTTCAACAGCAAACGTTTCATTGTTTACTACCAATTGTTTGCTCTACAAGGGTGTAGATAGGTACAGGTTGGCCCATGTGCATGTATGTTTATTGGAAATAAGCTCACAGTCGATACAGAAAGATGAGAAGCAATCTGCACCATCTTGCATTTCAGGTTTAGAGGGGGCTAGAGGAAAGGCACAATTGCTTGACAAACATGACACCGAGAACGTCCTCTAACACTGTCTTGACATGTACATGTACGTTTAGCCTCCTCATGTTAACCCTAACCCTACATAATACTACAAATTACTACTTGTAGTAAAATGTAGTAGTCAGTGCTGCCGCTAGTAAGAGGACATGACCGCATTGTTCCCTGAAGCCATAAAATAAAATAGAAAAGACAATGTACCATACAGTGCTGTGGCACTATGAATGCATGGCTTTATTGTTCTCTGTACGAGTAACAATGGAAGTAACCTAGCCTGAAGTAGTGATCTGTAGCACTAGGTCCTACAGGCTCAGGCTATTACTTAGTATTTTGTCGTACTGAGTACTGTAAGCCAAACAATATGCTTGGCGGCTAGGGCTAAAGAACCCATCATCTGAATTGTTCTTGATCTTTGTCCATGGCAGAGTAAAAATGAGTGAGGAAGTACAAGACAAGACAAGGACCAATGGAAGGCCATCTACATGTTAAGCAGTGATGACTGCTTTCAGTGCTTAAGATTCAATGTGAAGTGTTGGTCATCGCTGTTTCTTCTCAGTCGTGCACATTTCTCCCTCTGGGGTTCAAGGCCAGTTCACATTAACACAGAAAGTAAAGCAGAATGGACGTCAAAAAACAATCACCATTGCAAAATGTGTCTAATTTACAAGGTGCTCATATGAATGTAACCTCACAGCAGGAATACTTGCCTCTACAACAAAATTCATCTTTGCATTTAGTTTTGCTATAAGCATGAGGTTTTTCTCGTTCACCTTAAGGGACTTTCCCTTCCTCATTTTCATCTCAAAGCTGAGACTGGCCACAGCTGCTGGAGCACAATCCTTGTTTCCTTTCAGGCCAAGGGAATTAGCATGGTGGGATATGAGGGTACCGGCACTTGAGATACAGTATTGCACGGAACCTTGGTGCATTGCCCCACTCACCCAACAGCATTTGCACCAACTTGATGGTACATGTAGCACAGATGGGCAAGCAATACAGCAAACCGAAGGAGCATGTTACATAAGGTATGGTACATACACTGTACACGTACAGTCGTTCTACCTTGTAATAATACCAAGGTCACCACACATCACTGTAGTCACAAACTGGATAGGAAAAAATGTTACACGATCATTCAGTGTACTCTCTGATCCTCTGCAGCTGCAACCAACCTAAGGACATGAAGAGTGAATTTCAAAGGAGGCCAAATGACTCAAAATTCCACCGTGCATGTCCCTGGTCAGCGATGCACTGATATCCCAACCATTCTAGATTTTATGTAATCCAGATTGACACTTGAAGGTTATTGCTCCCTCTTCTTTGCAGCCTTCAGATACACTGTACATGATTAACATGCACATGATATTTTCAGGGTCTCAAAGCAATGATTCAGCATTTCCATGCTTGATTTGCCTTTATGTATGCCACAGCAGGCTGCAAAGGGGAAGAGCTAGAGAAGTGCTACAGGAAGCCATGTACATGTACGTGTAGCACATCTCCAACAAGGAGCACCAGATCTGATGAACAACTTACCAGACAGCATTATCTGCAAGGGAAAGCAGCAGTGTTGTAGTACTCGTACTCGGTACTGGTACTCGAGTACTACTCGAGTACCGTTTTCAGAGTACTCATACTCGAACTACAGTTCTTGTACTCAGGCTACAAAATACTCGGAACTCGACATCCAAAAATTGTACTCCAGCATCAAAGTACTCGTACTCGATTAACAATACTCAATAAAAAATCCTTTACGTTAATTTACCACGCACGGCCGTTAAAATAAGGTACAAAAATATCGACTCCAATGACCCGATATTCAATACGGTTCTGACAAAGAGAAGGCTGCACATGGGACCATTAACCCCTCAGTCCTCCAACAGGTGAAGGATTGAGGAGGGTTAGGGTTAACGCATATGACCCACTCGCCGTCTGTGCGCGTACTTAACCAATCACGTACGCAAACAATATTGTGGTACTCCAGAATGGTCCCGCGATTTTCTTGGACATTGGTAGTCTGGTTCCTGGACCCGAAAATTCTATTAACGAACCCCGCATACAGAAAATCACAGGCATGTGAATAATTGAGTCTGGAAAATAGACTTCAATGGTCTTGCGATGGTCTTGTGATGGCCTTGTCAGGTTTAAGTTGTTTTTTACATAGCTCGGTCTGCATCCATTCTCCAGGGAACAGATGAAAGCAGCTGATACTGGTACAGAGCCTTGTGGAAATCTGGGAAAGATGATATGAAGGGTTGGATGGGCCACACACTTGCAATCTGATGCCATTATTCGTAGTTGAAACAAGAACAATCTGAATTCAGAAGCTCCCTCTTTCAGTGTTGATCATGTATGTACATGTACATGTAGCACCTCGATGACCCCTGGTTATGGGAGGGATGGACATTAGAGTGTTCAATCTGGGAGACTAACCGTGACTCAAAATGACACAAGAACATCAAGACACAGGTAGTGTTGAGCAAATTGGCTGTTTAAGTGACCATCACAGACCTTCTTATGTGTCCAAGTTTATAGATTCATGGAGACCACAGCGCTGCTTAGCAACTGAAACTTGACGGATCATCATAAACTGAGGGTGCCTCTAGATTTTACTGTAGAACCATTGAAAGCTAACAATAAACCATTTACTTACGATGTAAATTGCAGTTATTGCTGGATAAGAAGTGTACACATACAATGTACGGTAACCAGAGATGCACAGTGTCTATGCACAATGCCAATCTTCATGCTATTCTTACAGAAGCCTAAAATTATTTTGATTTTCATAACTTGTGCATGTACAGGAATATTCAAGAAAAGTGTTTATATTATGACCTAAAATTATATCACTAAACAGTCAGCAGAAAAAATGATGAAGTACTGGTGCTGAGAAGAGACATAGCACTGCAGCGACAGACAATAAAAGGAAGCTGGTAGTGAGATCAGGAGGAAAGCACTCTCAATCATTACAGTCATGAACATCACTGAGTGTATGATGTAACAAGTACATCAATTACACCTGTAATATCAAAGTACAATACTGCTGGAATCTGCTCTGTATTCACAAACGGCTTTGAGGAGGCCTTACCTGATGCTGAATGCTGCTTTCGCCAATTTGCTCCAGGAGGGGTGTATCCTTCATGGTTGCTGCAACCTTGCTGGCTTCTTCTGTTGTCAACTTTGTCTCCTCCTTCCTCTTTTTGGTTTTGTCGGTGCTGCTTGGCGTCGGAGGCTTAGGGTCAGGGCCTTCAGCACTGCTGCCACTGGTCTTTGCCACCACACCAGCATTGGCGGACACTGTGGCAAAGGCAGCCTGTTGGGCCTGTCTTCTTGCCATGGCCACGGCACTTTTTCTGGGGATGATGATGTCAAGCAAGGGTATGGGCTGGGAAGGGCCTGGCCGAGTTGGGGCCTCGCGGGGTTTCGGTTCTTCCTGCTGTTTTGGTTTCTCTGATGTTGCCGGAGGCTTCTCATCTTGTTTGTTGAGTGTGGGCTTCTTGTTCAACTGGGCATCCTTTTTGCGTCGGTCCCCAGTGGGGGTCTTATTTCCTTGGTTTGGTTGAGAGCCTGATGAGCTCTTTCCCACAGACCCATCCTTATCGCTGGCCATATCAGATCGTCTCCTCTTCCTCTCAGGGCTGTCTCCCTGCCGAGTCTGGGACGGTGGACTCTTCCTATCGCTGGATGGGTGCATCCTGTCTCTTCGCTCCCTTGACCGGCTTCTCTGTCCACGCTCGTGCTTCTCGCGGCTTTGGCTCCTCGTTCTCCTGAGTGGAGAGAAGTGACCCCTCTTCCTGTTGTCATTGTGGTGCCGGTAGCTCGGAGAATGCCCTCGTTCCTTCTCCCGTAAGGTGTGCAGCTCACCTCTGCTGCAGTCCCTGTCTCTGTTGTCACGTCTGCCTCTGTCCCGGTCACCGGGCACGTCATGTTTGGGGTCAGTCCCCCTTCGCCGGTCCCCAGCATGCTTGCTGTCATGCCTTTCTTGACTGTGACTCCTCTGTTGTCACAGTGAAGTAAAAGAATACAGTAAATTAATCAATTACACTAATGATGACTTTATAAAACAGCATTTAAAGCTTTTTTTTACCATACAGAAAAATCTCGTTAATTTCTGAATAGAAAGTACCAGTACACTCTTTACACATATACATGTACATACACATGTATACAGAGGCACATGTCCACATGAGCAATACACATCATGTGGTACACACAGGAACTAAGATTTAGTTTTTGGCGTTTATTTAATAGTTTTTCATGTGTCACTGTGCTGCCACTGAATCTTCTGTGGGATCACAAACTTACAGGGGATAAACAGTGATGAGGCAGTTTGAGGAAAACCTACAGGTGTACTAGAACTAAAATACCCAAACCCACCTACCAAACATGAAGTTGACTCAACACCTGCATGCACATACATGTACACATGTGAAAGGATTACCAGTACTAGAGTAAATTGAGTGTAGAATGAGGAAGTTCAAACTTCATTTCGGGAATATCACATTACTTGCCAGTGTTATTTGAACAGTAGCTACCGTTATCCTTTCATTGACGCGGGCTGAAATGTGTTAAACATCAAACTAAGGTGTACATGTAACATGTCAATGTCAGCATTTTTACATTCTGCACAAACGCCCGTGTAGTTTTCCACCAACTTGGTGTCCAACTCTCACAAGTGCTCAACTTAAGGTTTTGTTTTTTTTCTAGTCTAGTTTTCATGTGCGAAAATCTGGAGTTCTGTTACAACCAACAGCAAACAGTTTAATAGAAAAGAGAACGTTTAACAACATTCGTCATGCAGTAGGTACATTTGTAGGCCTACCAACTGAAAGTGCCTTGGCAAATGTTTCTTAAATTTACACCAAATTACACCATGTAGGTCTGGTGTAAATTATGTGCAAAATTGACAAATTTTACACCCTGCATCTCCAAGGGAAGGTTCTCTTTTATAAAACTGTGTTGCCCCTACGGTTATTTATTTATATTTTTCAAAATAAATCTGTGTTATGGGCCTGTAATTTCTATAAGTACCGAGGTACATGTACCGGTATCTTGTCCTAAAATGTCCAATGCAAAACACACTTGAAACAAAAAAAAAGGAAAACAAATGAAAAAGCCAACAAAACAACATGCAAGTGTCCTCTAGTTTATAAACACATGAAACACATCATGACATGTGTAAAGAGTAATCAATGCCAAGTCCACTTCTGCATGTTCAATTCTCTCCACCGGTTTGTTTTGATGAAATAACCCTAAGGGCTCCAACAAGGGGAGGGGGGCTGACCACTTGTGTAATTCATCAAAGCATCAACATTGAATGGTCTGATTGTGGTCCCTAGTATTGTAGTCTCCAAATTGAACACAGGCAAAGTACAAACTAAGACCATGCATTTAAGGTAGTGAGCAAGGCCCAATGGAAAGTTTCAAGAAAGTATGCTTTTTTTTGTACTTTTGCAAAGCCAATGTCTGAATACTGCATATCTACGTCTGTACATGTACACCGTAAATTTTCTGTGCACAAGTGAATTACGAGTACATGAATGCATTATAAGAGCCAATATCAAATGTATTATGTGTATACATGTAGACACACCTTTCCAAGGGCACTGAAAATTAACAGCAGACAGGGCCAAACTTGATAAGCTCCAGAGCTGCAGTTTACTAAGAGGTAGAATTTCATGTTTCATTTATGGGTCAAATCATGCTTATTTGAGGCCTTAACTGACAACATACATTGTACGTGTACATGTACAATTACACTTGTACATGTAACGCAGTGGAAGAAGGCATAATCTTTGGAACAAGGTGTACATGTAAATTACTGAATAAAAGTTCTGAAAAGTTAAACAGAAGCCAATTAATACGGTATATGCCCCCACTCTGATTCTGAACTAAGATATTGAAAAAAATCTTTTTCTTTGCATTAATACCGTGTACACGTATGTAAATGGTTATTTGCAAACAAAGCGAGTTTTGCATGTGCTCATTCAGCAGCAGTCAGCACTCAGCACAGTCTACAACAGAAATAATCAATATCTTGGAAACATTTTTACTATCAAATCACTTGACAGTATCTTTACTACAAAAACCAATCAATCTACATTGGAAAAAAGTAATGAAAATTATCATCAACATGTATAACGAGTCAAAATTTGAAACTAACACAAAAGCTCTCCGCGTACTTAAATATCTCTATCAGAAGATCGTTTTATTACTGTGAACACCTTACCCGTTTATTATCACTGTCTCTTCTATGCTTAGCAACTGGCTCCAAGTTATCCCTTGATTTCTTCTTGAATGATCCCTGACCGTGGAGAATCTCCTCCCTCTGCATTTGCAGCATGTGGAAATTCCCACCAGCAGTGGAGATGACTTGCCCAGCTAATGCTGGTCCTATCGGGAGAGGACTGCCCCCTGGTGCAGCCCCTCCAGGGACTGCGCCAAACGCATTGCCCCCCTGGAACCCTTGGACTGTGTTGGCTATCGAGAGCCCCCGAAATACCGACGATTCCATGTGTGGCTGTCCTAGTCTGTCTCCACCCGACGACCCCTGACCTGACCGTAACACCCCAAGTATTGCTGCTAGCCCACGGTGTTTGTCTGTGGATTGTCCCTTGTTGTGGACCTTTCCATTCTTCATCTGCGGTTCCTGGCCAGTTAGTGCTGATCGGGTCAATCCAGTCTCCACTGGACGTCTTCTTGTTGCCCTCGGGAGCCACCGGCTCCAACCTGCCTGAGCTGATACTCTTCAGGGCTTGCAGAATGTCCAGTGCTTGGGCTGATGTCAGTCCCAGCGAGTCCGTCTTGCCGGACAGCAGGGCCTTGCGTAGTGTTTCCATCTCAAGAGGGCTCAGCTCCTTCAGTGTCTCCCTGTAATTGGGGAGCAGCTGGCTATTCAATCTTGTAGCAGCAGCTGGAGACGGGGACGGGGCTACGCTCATAGCTGCGCTGAGCGCTGAAGAACTGTTGGTGACCACCACAGCCGATGGCATGGGTTGGACACCGAACAGAGAAGCAGGCTGAGTTGCACTGCTTGCTAATGTACCCAAACTCGGAGGAGAACCAGGGTATGCCCCGAGAATTCCTGGCCCCGTGTTGATTGACGACCTGGTGCGCATGCCCTGCTGGGCTTTTCCGAAAGCCCCTTTCACGCTACCCACAACAGTCTGGACCCCATTTCCTACAGAGCTGTCACCTGGAAAATTCTGTGGTCTGCCGTTACCAACGCCAGATGTAGCATACTGCTGTTGTGGCGGTAGGATGCCTTGCTGCTGAGAATGTTGCTGCTGTCCACCATGTGAAAGCTGATGTTGTTGGCCTTGCCAAAACTGCTGCTGGCCTTGTGGAAGCTGCTGTAACTGCCCTGGTGTTAATTGTTGCTGCGGCTGGTTTGCAGAGAAAGTGCTCACGGTACCCACTGGGGTAACATTGCTAAATGCAGCACCAACCTTTCCTTGGCCTTGCATCTGCTGCTGCTGTTGCAGCATGGAGGGAAATGGCGGCAGTGTAAATGACGACGACGTACGTACATCATGTGAACGCTCCACAGATCCACCCACTGCGCCTACTGATGGTGGTGCTGTGCTGGAAGCCAACCCACTCTGGATGCTGGTGGTGGTAGCACTAGTACTGCCACTGACAGCAAGCTTGCCAGCAATGTCAACCGGTACACCCAACAAGCGCGCAGCAAATACCTTCTGCTGCAAAACCTGCGCCTCTGTTAAACTGTGAGGAGCAACAACTGGCTTAGCACGGACCCCAGGGGTTATGCGCTCTATGCCCCCAGCAACTGGTGTTGTGGGTGTGTTTGCTGCATGCTGTTGGGTCTCCCTCTGCTTGGGAACGGGGGGAATCAAAGTGTTGACACCGGGAACCAGACCTGAAGCCACGGTCGTGCTCGTCTGCTTCATTGCCCGGGCTGCTGGAAATAACTGCGACGACTGGTTATACAATTTGGGATTTGCCATTTTTTACCCTCCAGAAGTTCCCTTAAAAATAAAAGAATTCTTCTCCAATAATTATGTCGTTACTCACAAACTATCATAACATCCTTTGCACGATGCTGCTTGGTGGTGTGTACTCGATCCTATCGCAATTAAACTTTAAATTAAAGTAAATTTTTGGCTGGGAATCTCATCCATCCGCATGACCAGCACTCCTCGGCCCAGGCTCGCGAAGCGCACAACGGGTACCCGGCAGGGTCATAAATTGTGTATGGGAAAGATGCTCTTCTAGCTGGGTTACCAACGCTCGAGCGCTCACAGCACTTTGTTTGGTTCAACATCAACAGAGGGCGGTGTGCTGTGGACCCACGACATTCAGGAGAGATTCTTACGTGTAACAGCTTAGGATAGAAACAGTCATCTCCGGAAGTCACCGGTTACCGGTCAACAAAAATTTAAACGTAAACGAAAGATCAGGAAATAAATTTCCATTTGACACGTTTCCCAAACATCTTAGAATCTTGGGAGTAGGTTTTCAGATTTTTTTTCTATGTTGGGGTATTCATCGCTGATGACTTAGGCAGATCAGGCTGATCTGCAACCATAGGCCTAATGGGACCGGCCGGCCTCTAGACACTCTAAACGGTTGTTGTCTTGTACATTCTCCTAGATGTCTGAAAACAATTCCTGAGATTCTGGTAAAACAACGAACAACACGGAGCATTGGCGGAGGAAGCTGTGGAGGGGCAGTGGCCTAACACACATCCCCAGCCCCCCCCCCCCCCATTTTTGCAGGTCCTATTACTGGGTAGCGCTCAATGGATCGACCTGGTAATGGCTGATGCTCAATGTTCTAACGACTGCTTCCCCCACTTTGGAAATCGTTCCAAAGCCGGTTACACAAATGGGGAAGGGAGTTCTCTCCATCCTATATCTTGCTTCAAAATTCAACCATGAGAATGAGGTATTTCCCTAACTTGTCAGTATTGAAACATCGAATTCCATGGCAGCTATTCTTAAAGAAAATAAGTTAATTTTTGATTCTCCGAACAGATGGTCAATGTACTGAATGTTGTATTTGTATTTGTTTTTATTAGCACTAAAAACGAGGAGTGAAAAAAAAGCTATACAACGCTGTTTTGAGGTAACGTTATAAAAACGACATAAAAATGTACATTTGTATCGTGAACAGTGCCCCATAGTGTGCCCCCCCTGCCCTCGACCCTGCTTTTCAAATTTCTATGGCCGGTCAATTTTTTTATATAATACACAACCCACATCCCCTATAGTCCCCGGCAAAAATTTATTCTACGGATATTTATACTGCCCAAATCACCGTAGGCGTGGCGGGCATTTTATAAGGTTGAAACATCAGTGACTTTTACACCAGAAAACAACGCAGCAAAACTTCTGAATAAATATTGTGCACTCAGAAAACACAGTTAAAGTTTGGGATTTTCCTGACACTGGAATATCTCCTTGGGTTTGGTCACGCTACTTAGTACCAACCTTGCCGTCGGCAGTATACCTTTTATTTATGTGATATGGGCCTTCTGGCCAAATTAAGTAGTAATTTGCAAAATGGGGATTTGCCATGTCTTAGCCTTCTAATATAAGCAGGCACGCATGGAGATGCTTCGGGGGGGGGTTCAGAAAATGAAATCTCTTTGTGGGGAGTCCAATGCATGTGATTGTGAGCTCGTAACATGGAGACATGGAGAAAATAGACCTAGCCGTGAGTTTCGGACATCACCAAACCCTGCGATGCTGCTCGCTTCCGTACTGCGCGAAATAGGACTCGTTGTTATTGGGCACCGGAGGGACAGGAAGACCTTGATTGAAAGTAAAATTTCCATTTTCCAATGTGATCTAAGTAAAATTATCACACACTGCTATAAATACTATCCACTCTAAAACTTTCCCTAGGGGTATGCAAATTACAGAACTTGTTAAAGGGGGCCCGCCCCACACTTTATTTCGGGGGGGGGGGCGCTGGCCCCCTGCCCCCTGCCCCCTCCGGTTCTACGTCCGTTTTAAGTACAGAGCTGTGTGCTATGCTCAGTCCGATATGTCGCCCTCTATAGGCATACTGACGCCTAGTGTATCGTGCAAAAGGAAGATGCTTAGCCGTTGTCCTGATGACCCATAACACTCGGGAGGCCTTCCTGAGATCTCTCGGGGTTGAAACAGGTTATACATTTATGTTTACTCCACCTGTGTGATTCTTCCTTAGAGCGAATAAAATCCACAAAATAAAAACTCCTTGGAGTGTAAATGCCAGATAGATGTAAAAATAAGTAGTAGGCTTTATGTGTTGTTCAGAGGTATTTGAGCCGGGACACCTTTTCAAATAATTCATTTGAATAACCATTCTAAAACACAATGGTGTATACAGGCAACACAGTGAGGGACCAAATCAAACAATGAGTTCAAGACTTTGTAACACCGGGTATTTACAATGAAGCCTTTCTGGGTGGCTCGAACACATGCTCTATTATTTTCTTCCCGCCAAGAATTAACTGGAAATCGCTTTTAGGACTTGCAATTTCTTTACCAGATTTTTATGGAAAGCGGGCGACCAATGACAGCCTCCGTAGAGCGGGGTCACCTCAAGAAGTCACGGTTACGCAGCCGTATGGAGGGCGAGGGTCGGAATCCGTGAAGACTGTGAAGTCTACTGACGTCGTCCACTGGTGATAATAACTAAGCAGCATGAGGCACGCGTCTGTTGTTTGTCAGTTGCACGAGGCAGCCTCATCAACTTTTTTTGCTAAGTCAGTTGAAAAACATGCAACCACCATCCCGCATGAAACAGGGAACTCCATCACCCAGATAAGCACTGCAGGAATGGTGTCCCGCGCATACTGCCCTGGTGCCCGCGACCTATCCATTTTACGACAAGCCGAAACGAACAACAGACTTCGTTGGTAATTATGTAGACATTCGTATGGTCTGTCAGGCGTCCATTTATTCATTTCCCTTTCCAGTTTTGGACTGATTCCTCTGTTGAGGGAAGGAGCAAAATTGTTCATTATTACCATTTCTTGAGAATGGGGGACGGCTTGAACCTCTTCCCCGTTAATCTGTCCACAACGTAGAAATCCTCCAAAGAGCTTTTGGGGCACAGTTTAAAGGGAAGGTTATTTAATCAGTCTGTCTAATCATCTTAACTTAAGTAAAGCAAAGGGTAAAACAAGCCAGTGAGTTGACCATCGATCGAATTTCCGAGGAGAATATAGACACAGAAACGACTGCGTAAAGTCTGCCTTGACAAAAACACTTGTGTCAGAAAGGTCATGGACGCTATTCACGGAATGTGGCCCAGTTTAGCAAAAACAACAATCGCCCGGTGGGTAACGGTCCTGGTCGCTTTTATTTTTTAAATTCCTACATGAAATCGACTAGTGACAAATTATGATTTATCATCGAGGTTGTGCCATCTGCCACTTGTTTATGGTGGAAGTTAATAGTACAAAGAAGTCAAACTTTGTCTGAGTGAGGTTGATGTCGAGTTCATGGGCGATAGTAGGCTCAAACATGCACAAGCTGCATACTAAGTTGACAAGTCCTTTCATAAACTTGCAATTTGTGATATGTGTCTGCATATATGACGAATGCACTGGTGTAGGCCTTTTCACTGAGTAAACAATGTAACAATTGGTTGAAACCCCTGGAGTTAAGGGAGAAGTATTCTTCTCAAGAGTCAAACAGAAGTTACGGTTGCCTTCTTGTAGTTTCTGGTCCGGCCTTGTTTGCGTCCTTCCTCCATGCTTGTTCAGAGTCACGGTCGCTCCATCGTCTCCGGCATTAAGTTCCGGATCGTGAGTCCGTAACCCAATCTCAAATTGCTTCCCCAGGATATTAGCGGATCTAACTTAGAGGGTCGGGTGGGGGTTGGAGCCCCGTCTCAGCCCTCCTCATTTTTGTCCTATTAAAACCCTTAGGCAGTCTGCATTCATTTGTATAATGTATACTTGAAGCAATGGTACATTATTTTGGTGTGTGCACATCAACTGCCGCACTTCCCAAGTTCCCAGTCCCCCAACTCTCTTCTAGTAAAATAAGCTCTATTTTTCCCCCCTGGGCAAAACCTTGAAATGCATCTTTTGTTCGTCATTGATAGCAGGGCGCGGACTACACTCTGTTCGTTGTTAAAACCTTTCACGCATTCAGCACATGATGCAAGTGGAAATCGACCCCACATTACGCACGTTACGTTATCATGCAAACCTTCAGATTGCCTGTTGCCATAGTTCTATCTGGGGTCTGCATCGTTTTTCGAAGCTCACCAATATTCGTTATCTTTGGGAATTCTGCTCGATTTATGAATAATCCGCCCCGAGCTGAAGTGCACCCCCAATCGGCGAAAGAAAGACAGGTGGTTACACGCGGGTTCTCGCACGCGTTCGGCGTGTACGCGAAGACCATACATCCCGGAATAAATTAGTTACGCGTACTCAGCGTGCTCTGCTTCAAACGTGTACTTGTGCGCCTCATTGCGCGTCTAAGCGGCGAGTAAAAAAGCCCTCTTTTGTTCCGTTCACAGCGGATATCGTAACACCCTCTTTTCGGGGAGGATAGATATGGCACTGAAATCGAAAAGAAGCTGGATAATTGTTCCGTCGTTTCAATATTGACAGTGCCCCTTCTATTTGAAGTAATCCTTGTTGGTTGTCTCTCAGAGTGGTTGCTCTTGCTTCCTGTAAATTCACTAAATAATGCTGTTAACCTATTCCCTGCAAATAAAATTCCTATCTTTGTAATTACAAGATTTATTTCATTTTTTTACGCTGGTGATTCCCAGGTCAAACTCGTAGCTCCACCTTCCACGGCCCAGCGACATGCTCGATTGACTCCCTACAGTATGGCGCTATTGCGTTAAAACCAATTCAATTGTCATGCAAATGTCACTGTGGTCCACAATAAGTAGTCAAGCAGAGAAACCGTGAGAAACTCTTCTTGGATGCGACGAAGTCTGAAACTGCATGAGAGTTATGCATAATTAATCACGGATATTTTACTTTAGTGAATGAAACCACCACGGGTTTGGATACAGGCTTCTTTCAAGAGATGCGCCGAAAATTCCATGGATGGCTAGAAGGCCCAAAAGACGGCCGCTAACTGCCCAGGGACCCCAAACCAACCTGTCACACGGGATGGAGCGCCATATATATGCCGCTAATCGCCCAGATTAGCCGCCGATTTGCCACATGATTGACATCCAGTTTGCTAATCCGCGGGCCAAAAAATTAGCCGGTGCGCACGCCGCAACCCAAGGGACTCCCGACACGAGGAGGGATCGCCGGCTGGCCACCGCGCGGGGGACCGGCCGCTCGTGCGGGTCGCGTGGGCCCAGGAAACAAAGGCTAATTAAAGACCGGGGGCCAGGGCGACATGCCGAAGAATGAGCGCTAGGAATTATTGCGTGTGCTCCCACGGTGCTGAGTGGGTCGCGCGGCTCGACGCTTTTTTCTTTGTTCGCCATCGCGCAGACAATGAGACATCCACGGCACGCCTGTTGCTGTCCAGGCCTTGGTTAACGAATTATCTGTTAATTTTAAAGATGGGGGAAGTGTGCTCTGGTCAGTAGATGGCCTTGACTTGAAATTACATCGGTGAATAAGCTAAAGAAACGAGAAGAAAAGTACAATGCCTAAATAGTACAGAATTAGCGAACGGCCATCAGTGTCTGCTCTCTTGCCCAAGTAAGATCATCACTGAATGACAGTGAGAGCACCCTGCAGACATTGTGGTTGTAACAAGTTTACAAGTAGCAATAGGTGCGGTTTCAACCGCCATTCCGAAAACCATTAGGAAACCATTCTACTTTTTTCCAAAGTTTGCGAAAAATCCCTAATCACCCTTTTACTGAACTTCGTTCTATAAAAAAACTCCTCAATATGGAACAGCGTCCCACTTTAACAAAACTACATATCCGGGATATGCATATCCTCTTCGAAGTTTTCAACGGGAAAAAACCGTGTTTATTATCGGCTTTTATCAACACATGTAATAATTTGAGTCAGAATATGACCTTAATACTTTCAGTGATCATGGTCAAAAGTAAAAACAAGGACAGAGATACCCAAATCCTGGAAGTGTTCGTCAGTACATGTGAATACTGATTTACTTTCAAACGTCAAATGTGATTTTAGATAGAACAAGTTTCATGGTCTTTTAGAAAATAGTGTACAAAATCTACCATCCTCTGCTACGGTTGAACTTGACAAAACGTTTGTCAAAGTGCTGTATAAAAACGTGTGTTTATCTTGAAATATCTAATGTGGACAAAGCTGTTTCCGAATATCTCCAAAAATATTGGGCAACTCCCACCCACACACAAAATCCCCGGCACATAGAGTCAAGTCACAAAATTCAGAGGCTTGTTATCTTTATCAACGCTCTTGATTACCGAGACCACCTTTTGCTGCTTCCTATTTGAAATTCGAACAAAGAGATGTTTTCATAAAATGTTATACCATCGGAGTTCCAGAGGGTATTTTCTTTCCCACATTCTGCAAGGCTTCAAATCTTTCTTCACTCATACGAATGTAGCAGGAAGAGTTTTTTTGAGGCAACTGTTGTCCACACACTACTATGTAACATCTCTTCCGGGATTTGGCACTGGGGTACTTTGTCGCTGGGGGCGCCCTACGCCGCTGACGCGAATCACGATCCTGTTGTGCAGAATTCTAGTTGTTACGCAACTGCACCACAGACCCAATATACGCATAGACCGCCGGTCTTGCGCGGATAACCGTGATTTTGAAAAGTATGGGCAAACAATAGAGGGACTTCACATTAGCGCCGTCTGCGCGCATCTGCATCGAAACCGAGGCTCTCTGTGTTGGGCTCCCTCGCGCACGCCCGCAGAGTCCACACAGTATGTGGAGTATCCGGTTCGTAAGTGTGACGCCACTTCAGTTTAAACCACGCCCACTACACAAGATACACGACCATCGCAGGTACGTTAGTTCGCGGTCAATTGTCGTTATTTTTCTTTGGATTTTACGTGTCGAGTCATCCTGAAAGACTCTTCCACAAAAATTTGCATCCTGAAAAATCTGAATTTAACATACCTTTATGTATTTTGTGTCTCGACTCCTTACTTTCAATCGTCTGATCGTATTAAGAATTGAAGCTGACACATACAGCCTCGTTTTCAAACGCGGAAGTGCGCAGATCGACGCTAAAAGCGTCGTATTGGGACCCCTCTATGGGCGAAACGGTGGATGACAGTGCGTTGTTCAGTGTGCATTACGCGCAACGCACTCATATTTCCTGTAATTGTTTACATGTGCTTCCAAATACGTTCACCTTTTTTGCTCTTCGGTACTGCTATCTCTTCTTTTCAAATGTTGCAACTGCATTGTTTTGAATCCCTATGGGCCAGATTAAGTGAATAGAGGGGGTTTTTACAAATCGAAAAATGGCTTCATAGAATTTTATGGCTGGAGTTCTTCAACTGTGCGTAAATTCCCTATACAGCGGGGTGAATTTTGATTTTAGTCGGGCGCCACACACATCACGAAAAACCCCTGTAGTTTTGAATAGGGCCTTGTGGTCTAGTACGTCTATGCGTTT